AGAGCAAGGCTTCAGGAAGAGAGACACAGGTGTTGACAGTTGGACTTAGGGTCAGACGTGGAGAGTGTTGGGGGATAGGGCAGGGTACCAATGCTTTCTTTTGACTCCTTTTGCCCAGAAAAGAGCCACCCTTGGAGATGGCAAAGGAACACAGAGGTAGAGAGTCAGGACAATGGACAGTAGAGAGTCAGTAGAGAGTCAGGCAATGGACAAGACATGCCTTTGGTTACTGCTACTGTCTCTTTAGGAATCAGCACCACCTGCTTTGAGAAAAGACCTCTGGGTTTGTTTTGAAGCTGAGTTGCTCTCTGGGAGTGGGGTCCTCGATGCACACACCTGCCCCCCTCTTTAGAGAAGAGAACACCTTTCTGAAGAGCTCATCTGAGGTTGACGCCTTATCAGGCCTTTTTTTTCCCTAAAAGCATGGTTGTGGCTTTATGTAGAGAATTTCTTGGCAAGGACGTGTGGAACCCTGGAAAGCAAAAACCAGAACTCTTGTCTGGTCATGGCTGTCCTAGAGACTTTCTGTGGGACCTCTGGCAGGACACTCTACATCTCTGGGTCATCTCTCCTTGCCTATGAACTCAGATGCTAGACTTAAATGTCTACGACTCAAGTGGCCACCCTACATTCAGATTCTATATTCATTCATCCTAATTTGGCCTCTCTGCCCAGAGATTTGACCTAAAACCACCTCACAGATGAGAAATTGAGGGTCAGAGAAGTGAAGGGAGCTCGTTAAAGGTCCTGTTCAAGGAAAATGATAGAACTGAATGTGAACTTAGGTCTGCCTGACCTCACATCCTCACATCCAAGACTCCAATACATCTGAGCCCCTTGATGGAAGGGAAAAAGAAGTTCCTGAGACTGTGCCGGATGTGCTATGTGCCCTCACATCTGCTCTCTACTTCCTGCCCCTGGCTCTGCAATCTGAGATGCAGATCTCTATCGACAAACTTCCAACCTTGGAAAATATAGACATCCTTACAGTTCTCCTTCAGTAGGTCGGGGCTGGGCATTTCTAACAAGTTCCCAGGAGGCCAACAGAATTACATCTCCTCTGCTTCTGGTTGGGCTTCGCCAGTGAAAAACAGAGGAAGAGGAGTGGGTAGAGAGAAAAGCCCAGGCTCCCTTTGCTGGGGAAGCCACAGAAGGTCACACCTGTGGCCAGGTTGTCTCTCTTTTTCTGGGTCTTGGGTTCCCTTCCTTGCAGTATCCTTGGTGGCCTGGGGTCACATTTAGTCCCAGAGCACTGCTCTGTCTCTTGCAGAGTCTTTACTCCTAGACCACACCTTTGTAACGCATCTCTGGGTCATTTCTCCTCAAATTATTCTGTGTGAGGGTCCTATCTATTTCCTGCTGTGATCACACCTGATCCCAGAGGGAAAATTCATTTTATGAAATTTGCAGCCCCTGCCATCACTTTCTCTCCTAGCATCCCCTCCTTTCTTGGTCCGAGAAGTTTTAAAGCTTCCATGTGGGAAATGCCTCCTTTCTTGGTCCAAGAAGCTTTAAAGCTCCCATGTGGGAAATGCTTGGCATGCTTGAAACTTCCTCTGGCCACAGTGTCTGCCCTGGAGCTACCTGAAAGCAAAGGACTCTTTGTTCTCGTTTTCCCCATTCATTTCCTTCCCTTTCCCTCCCTCTCCAGTCCCACTCCCTGAAACCTATTGTCTCTATTACTACATTCTAAATAGAATCATTTGGAAGAAAGGGGTGATTTTGCCAAGGTTCCCTTTCACTGTTTCATTTGTAGGCAGTGCCCTCCCTCCTGCACTTCCCCCTTAATCTTTTCTGTTCTCCCTGGCCTGGGCCTTTGTCCTCTGTTCTGGCCTCTGGGTGCTCTGGGCTCCTTAAGATGCTAATCACACCTGCTTTTCTTTTTGCACCAAGAATATTTCTATTTATCAAGGCGCGGCAGGCTTTGCCTTTGGGAGGGACGCATACAAGGGCAGGAACACTTTCCATACCTTAGGGCTGTTTCTCTTTTACTTTTCTCATTTCAATTCTAGGAGTTCTTTCTTTCTTTCTTTCTTTCTTTTTTTTTTTTGGTTCCCTTTATGTTTAGTGCTGCTTTCTGAATGTACTGGTTACCTGGCACTGTCTCTTGGCTTCTAGTACCCAGGGCAGACCTGCACTATCCCTGATTTGTTGCAGAATCACTGACCCTCACATCAGAAGCGAGAGTGGAGTTTATTTACACCTATCAGGGTAATGTTATGAAGGTACTTGAATTCTCTCTGCCTCCATTTGAATTTCCCCAGGAGTAGGTATAACACAAGCATTCCAGGGCGAATAGTTTCTGTAGGAGCGGGAAACACCTCGTGGAAAGCAGGGAAGTGAGACAGGAAGAGAAGGCAGCTGAGAAAGGGTGAGTTTCCAAGCCTGCTACTACATGGGTGACTGCAGCCTAATTCCCATGGAAACTCTACGAAGACATGGAAGGGCAAGTGAGCTGGGGTATCCCAAGGTTGAGGGCTTCTCACAGGGGTGTTGATTCTTCAGCATTTGCGGGCTATCTTGTGCCGGGGTAGAGCAGCTTTCCTCTACTGTGGAGAAAGTCCTCAGGCAAAGAGATATAGTCAGGGAAGAGGTCACCCTGAGAGTCCTGTCAGTGCAGACCCAGCAGCTGGGATTGAGGCTTCCCAAGTGCACCCTGGGAGCCTCGCGTCTGACCCCACTCCTGCCCCATGACACCCCTGCCAGCTGCATGCTGTTGCATAGTGAGGTGGTTGGGCTACGGGACATGGGGGTGGGCTCAGTGATGGAGCTCTGCTTTCTCCTTACTCCCTGGAGCCCTGCTTCTCAGGAAGACCTCGCAGAGGGGATGGTGTTTTCCTTTCCTCCCTCCTGTGGTCCATTCCCTACTCTCTTCTTGCTTGCTTGAATTTACCCTTCAGAGTGTGGTTTTGATCTAACCTTCCATCCATCCTTGCTGAGTGTTCTCTGTCTTACATGGGAAGCAGAAATCACAGTCTGCAGTGACTTCCCCACATGCAGTTTCTATTTATTGGACACCATGTCATACCAGGTTTGGGGAAATAGAAAAGCAAGATGGCCAGCTCTGATGTCATACAGCAGCTATGGCAGGCAATAGGCTGTCACAGTAATCATTCAGATGTGTCTCAAGTCACAATGATGACAAGGGCCAAAGAAATAACATACATTGTGCTCTAGGATTGAATGATGGGAGTCTGACCACATCTGAAGGGTCAGAAGAGTTCTGTGAGGAAGTGAGAACCAAACTGAGAGCTGAAGAGTGAATGGGCCTTAGGAGGGCAAAGACAGGAGAGATGGGTGTCTGGAAACAGAATGTGCAAAGGTCCTGTGGTAAAGAGGAAGCATGGAAAGCTCCTGAGTGACAGCCAGTTCAGCTTACGTGAGGAGGCTGCCATGAAGCGCTGTGATGAACCTAGAGAAATGGCTGAGGGTCTTGCAATCAGGAGGACTCAAAAGGGAAGAAAAAGTATTTGAAGAGTTTTTAGTTTTGAAGATGACCTTTGACTTCAGTCAGGGATTTGGGAGGCAAAAAGTAGGGCCAAATTGGACATGGAGCAACTGGGAAAAAGGTTTGACAGAGTTGAGGAAATTGCTGGTGGTGGCTCAGGTAAAGATGAGTTGTGGAGACTCAAGGAGATACACAGTCTGGCTTCCAATTCCCGGCATGCTTCACATTGGCTTTGCCCTAGAGATGCAGCCCCGCCTGCCTGTCCACATCTTGCAACGTGTCCCACTTCCTTCACGGTGCTCCAGTGATATTTTTTTTCATATTTGGGCAGCATCCTTAAGAGGAAGACACTGTAAAACCCAATTTACAGAGACAAAGACGAGGGGCTGGGGATTTAGCTCAGTGGCAAAGTGCCTGCCTGGCAAGCACAAGGTCATGAGTTCAATTCCTGGTATGGGAAGAAAAACAAAAAACTAAAACAAAACAAAAAACAGAGACAAAGATGAGAGTCACTACCTATTGTCACACAGCCTATCATTTAACGTGTCCTATTTGGACTCACACTCTGGCAGGAAGAGTGAGTAAGTGACTTGATATTTAGGGCACAGTAGGTATTGTACTTGAGCAGATAATACTGGGGACCAGTCAGAGCAAGATCCACCTGCCCTGGAAGCAGGTATTGCATCTCCCTGGGCCCAGCATAGGAAATGTTTGGAGGAAACCCACACATCATAAATCTTAATACATGTATGCTGACTGTTCGAATATCTCTCTCCGACAATTCACTTGCAAGAAATCTTGCTGTCTGCATTACTATCTTCTAAGAGACAAATTATAAATGTTTTCTGATTAGCTTCACCATTCATAGCCCATTCCTAAATCAGCACAGGAAACAGCTAAGCTAAAACTTCTGCCTCTTTCTTCCTTTACAATCTGCTTGTATCTTATTCTTTCTCCCTCCAAGTTTTTTTATAGGCATGTCTAGACATTCAAAACCAAACAAAACAAAACTCTGAACGATGCCAGAAATTGTCACACACAGCCCCTTCTCCCCACTTTGGCTGAATCATGTGACACTGAGATCTGAGAGCAAGGACTGCTCCCCAGGCAATTGGCGAAATGTCAGAAGGTCCAGATCGGCTACACTAAATCAGACAAACGGTGCTGTGCATCCCTCTTCTCATTCACAACACCTACTCAGCATTTTCTCTCAGATAACGTTTTCCTGTCTGTGTTTATGTTGCTTTGAAGGTTGTACACAGCAGTATTTAGCAGTGGTAATACTTGGATGCTACCTGTGTGGGGTATTCAGTTCTGTGATGGTTTTCCTTTCCACCTCTCCTTCCAGAACTGAATAGAAGCTGTATGCTAATATTTTGTTGCTGCCTTTGTTCAGGTTTCTTCACCTTTTGCTGGGACCACCGCAGTAACCTTCTGACCCACAGCTGGAAACATCAAGGATTATTTGATAACAATTTTGAGGTAAACAATAGCTTTTTTGCCCCCGTGTTCACCAAGCTTGATGCTTAGGCTCTCTCGGGAGGGTACCTACAGGATATGATGTTCCCATATCGATTCTTATTGCGATTTTCATCTTCCTTGGCTGTATCCCATGAAGCGGTCTGCCCCTCGGGTAAGGCCTAAAAAGAAAGGGCAGAGTGGTTAGAAGCCAGAGGTGGAAGCTTCATCGACATGGAGATGAAGCAACAAGGGAAGCAAGAGAGGACACTCCGTGTAAAGGGTAGTGTGTCCTTGGATGGGGCCTGGGAAGAACACAGCCTAGTCCCTTCCATGGACTTCTTTCCTTGCTATTTGACTCAACTGTTGATGTCTTTGGTGGGCCATTGGTTCACAGTCTTTCCAGGAGAGAAGTCATTCATTCATTCATTCATTCACTCATTCACTCACACAGATACTTTTTGATCCACTAATATGTTTTGGATACTGTTCTAGGTACTGGGAGTGCAGAGAAATAGATCAATCCCCTTGAGCATTGAATTGAACAGGAGATGTAGTAAATAAGCCAGCAAACACATAATTTTAGACAGTGGAAAATGCTATGAAGAAAATAAAGCAGGATAAAGGGATAGGGATGAAGAATAGGGATTATTTCAGGTTACACAGGAAGTAACATTTAAGTACATTCCTTAATGATGTGAAAAACCTGAGAAAAGTAGGAAGTATTTTCCAAAAGTAGGCAACTGTGAAGGTGTTCAGGCAGCAAACTAGTGGTCACATTCATGGATGAGAGTGAAGTGGTAGAACTAATGGTAGAAACCCCTAGAGAAGATGGCAGAATACAGATACAAGGCAGTACAGCTTCTGGCTAGCAACCTGAATATTATTCTAAGTGTAATGGGGAAACCATGAAAAATTTTGAGCAAGGAAGTCACCCAGTCTGTTGTACAAAGTGCATTATGTCTCATGTATGGAATAAGGCTGGATAAAAGTTAGGAAAGAGCAAGAAGATCAGGAACTTTCTGCAATTTTTCAGGCACAAGATGGTAGCATGGGCCCCTGAACTAAGGCAATGGATAGAAGAATCATTTTTCAGATGTTCAATATTGTTGACTCGGGCTGCCTCAGAAGCAAACTCAGAAGTATGGGTTTGAGTACAGTGGTTCATTTGGGAGGCAGGCCCAGAGACCACGGGTAGGAGGATGGGGAAAAAGGGACAGTCCAGGGAATATAGGGCACGTCAGTGAGCAGGCTACCATTGTATACAACCAGGCTTAATCCCATAGGCACATCAGAGTTGTCCCACCAGAGATGGGACATGTACCCGTCAATTTCGGGTTGAGGACATCCTTGAGAATGCTCTAGCACTTCTGCCATGCTCTGTAGGCAAAGTATCCATATTCTTCCATGCTCTGTAGGCAAAGTATCCCTATTCTTTTATCTTGAGGATGCCCTCAGGTGAAAATCATAGATGCATATAGTCATCAGGTAAGCATGGATGTAGAGGGGATATCAAGGCACCAATATATCTACCAAGGACTGTTAAGAAAAAAGGAATGAAGGCTGACTTTTAGATCATTGCTTTGAAGAAATCAATGGAGAGATGTCATTTCCTTAGGTGTAGAAGTCTGGGGGAGAAACAAGATTGGGGAGGAATAAAATGTTGTGTTTGGATGCTTAGATTGCTTAGCACTGCATACTGTGTACTTTTTAACATATTCAAGTGAGTCACAATAATAGCACTAATGATGACAGCCAAGTTTGACGTGTCTGTTAGACATTCAAGCTGCAATGCTAAGAAGTTAGAAACAGAGGTCCAGAATCAAGGGGGTGGGATAAGATTTTTATCAATCAGTTTAAGAGGACAGCAAACACAGATAAAATAAGCAAACAAACGCACTTGTGGGATGGTTCGTCAGGGCTATGAGCCAAGTTGTCATGAACAAAGAGGAGGTACAGTCAGATGTTTCACAGAGGGGAGGGTGGGCTTTCAATACAGTGGGGCAGCTTTAGCAAACCTGTAGAAGCATGAAGGTCAGACTATGTTTTGCTGACTGTCTCCATTCTGCGTCTAGTGGAACAGGGTGTATGACTTGTTCACGGTCCTTGCTTTACATCTGAAGCTGGATTAACAACAGTTTCAGTCTGCATAGCTCTCTGTCTCCAGTTCAGGAGGGAGGAACTTTGTGGAATGCATCATCCTTGTCTTGTCCATCTTTGCTCACTAGGTCTGCCCTAAATAAGGAGGAGTCTTAACCAGATTGGCTGAAGTCTGGCCCCTCAGCAGGCCCCGCTTGGTGGACAGGCCGTTTGGCATCTATGACAGGTCAGTGCTCATGCATTATTCAAGCTGATCTTTGGGAGGTGGATTTCCTACCTGAAATCCTCTGTGGTAAAAGCAAACCATGTGTCCCAACATATCCCCTAAAAGTGGTATGAAGCCAAGGACAGGATACCTTGAATGTTTTTACACTGATTTCTTGGTAAAATTCATAATGCTGAGTACCTGATACGTCCCAGGGTTTGGGTTGCATTTACCTTAAGGTCTCTTTCTGGCTATATTTTAGAATTACCTGGGGAAGCTTTAAAACTCCTGAGCCAAGGCCTTATCCTAGGGCCAATGGATCAGACTCTCTGGCATGGATCACAGGCATAGACGGTGTTTAAAGCTTTCTAGGTGATTCTAATGTGCAGCCATGACTCTCGCAAACAGTGGATTTACCTGGAGAAATACTTTCCAACGAATCTCCTCTTTGGGTTCTCTTGCTTTGGGACTGTTCCCTCCAATCCATCCTCCACTGTAATCAGAGAGATCTTTCTAAAATGTGAATAGGACCCAGTTATTCTCCTGGTTATTGTCTTCAGGAAAAGTTCTAAACGCTTTAACAGGAGGCCCTTTATGATTTCACCCAAATCCCCTATTAATTTACTTCTCTATTTTGATAGGCAATAATAAGGTGTTTCAAACTTTTTGGACTTCACACATGGCTCTCTCCTCCTGGAAATTCTCTTTCACCTGAATCTGCCTGTAAAATACCTATGTATCTTGCAAAGCATCTTTTCCTTTGCAAAAATCCCTCCATTCACTGTGCTTACTGCATTCTCAGTCTCATAATCTAAATATCTGCCTTCCAACTTGATCATAAGCTCCTCTATGGAAAGTGTAGCATCTTACTTATGATCATCTCTTCAAGACCCAGCTGGCTCTGTGTTTTATTCTTGCTTGAAAGACCCATTTGGAATGGATAAGTGGGTGAAAAAATTCATGAATGAAGTGACTTTGTGCCATCAGAAGACAAAGGTCATGGAATCTCAGAGATATGAATGACCTTAAAGATCACCCGGTTATGTTTCTGTTCACAATGGCCTTCCAGGCAACTGATGAGCTGATCCCAAGCGTCTATCTTGGGTAACCCCAAGGACAGATGGAGGACACCCTCCCAAAGCTTACTGACTCTTTTTTTGGAGCAGACTCACTAGTTTTCTCTTTGCTCTGCCTCCCTGTGTTTTGCCTTTGTCCTTCTCCATGAGCCCCGCGAGAATGTACATGCACCCTCTGTATTCTGACACTGCAGAGAGCTGATGAAGGTCACTCTTGCCACTCCCATAGGTCTTAAATGGTCCCCTGAACATCAAGACTATGCCATTAAGGACACACCCTGAATGCAGCTATTGCTGACAACCCTAAACCTAGCACAACAGTTGTGATGAGTGAGTAGCACTTCTCAGTGGGGAAGCACCCAGGCACCTGCCACAGCCCTGGGAGGGTGAGGAAGACCTTGTGGCCTGTGATGATGTAGACAAACCAGAGGAGGGATGCCTAATAGAGGGCTCAGGAGGGAGTGGTAATGACCCCATAATTGGCAGGCTTTGATCACACATTTATTTCCCTTTCTAGGGAGCTGTAATTGAATAGGGGAAAATCTCCTCGAGGAAAAAAATCCAAGGGGGTACAAGTATGAAAGAAAGACTCATTTCTGTCTTCCAAATGAGGGAACCAGAGGCATTATTTTTACATTAGTAGCTAGTTACAGTAGATTGACCAGGGAATGGTGGCAGTCATTAGGAGCTAATCACATTCTTTTGAAACCAAAATTGCCATCTCATTATACTCATCCATTATCAATCTTTACTTTCCTCTTCTCATTCTCTGCCCCCCAGAGTGTGGAGCTCTAGTTTTACATTTCTCTCTGAACGTGGAAATGTTTTCTACTCTTTGCCAGTGTTGCTTTTCCAAGGTGGTCACTTTTTAAAGTTTTTCAGTCCAAAGATGTATTTGGGGATGGCCTCCTATCTGGAGATCTGAGCCATGGTATTCACAGAATCCTCAAAAGTCAGATTTGAAAGGATGTCTCAAGAAAATTGTAGCTGATTTTATGTATCAACAAAACATGGCCTACAGTTAGAGAATGACCTGTCCAAGAACATGTTCTGGTGATGTCTTCCCTCCTTCTTTCTCTTCTTTCTTTTCACAGAGACCATCTCGGACCGGGCACTCTACTAGGTCCTAGAAATAACGGCAGACACAATCTTGAACAGTTCCGGTTGTGAGAAGGGGCAGACAATATGCAAAGAGGTAATTATTGTTTGTAATGAGTGCTGCCAAGGCAATGAAGAGGACCTGGGTAGATAGTGACTGGGTAAGGGACTACTTAGATGAGGTGGTTCAGGCAAGATCCCTTGGAAGGATGGCCTGTGAGAGTAAGGGCCCTCCTGGATATCGGAGAGCTGGCCAGGCCCTCCCAGCTGGGCCTTAGTGCTCTCCTGCTGAGCACAAATGACCTCACATAACACCAGTAGGCAAGGCTGCTTCTTCATGATAGAAGGAGACCAAAGCAAGACCCTTCTGGAGTCATGGCAGAACACAGACAAAAATATGAGTGCTGCAAACCAAAAAACCTGACCAAACACACCCCTATCCTGGCTGATAAGACTGACTACTACTTCTTTGCTAATCACAATGTTAGCTTTTCCCTGGTCTTCCCTTGTGGTAGTTAAGATTTATTAAGATCCCAAATCACACCACTTCCTGCAGTTTCCGATCTAGAATAAAGCCTCCCTTAAATTGTCTCTCACTTCACCTAGTGCAGCCCACCTTCCGTGAGGCCTTCTATAACCCCCTTCTTGAGATTCCCCATAATCCACCAAGAGGTGCACTCAGCTCACGCCAACAAGGAGTAAGCCCAACTTGTTCAGTTCCAGGTGTGTCCCTGCTGTCACTGGCTGACATAGTGGAGCTGAATACTAAGTGATGAGCAAATGCCAGCCGTGGCAAAACCTACAAAGGAAAGCTCCAAGCTGAGGAGCAGCAAGCAGAGAGGGCCTGGGGTGGAATGAGCTTGCTGTGTTCTAGAACTTGAAGGAGGCTCTCCAGAGCAAAGAGCATAAATGGAAGAGAGGGATAAAGTCACGTGAATAGTATGAGTGCTGTCAAACAATGGGGGCCAGCAGGGGCACTTAGTAAAGTCTTGCTGACCAGTCAGGAGCATGAGCTTTATTCTAAATCAAAGGGAATGCTTAGGGAATATTTTAAAAGAAGGAGGCGGAGCCAGATCCAGTGCCAGCTAAAGACATTTGTCATTGGAACCTTCTCTTCCTCCTAGTTTATAGGCTCACAAATTATAGGATAAAATGATCATTGAGTTCCTGGCCCAGACTAATTTCCCCGGTGATTGCAAATATCTTCCTAGCTACAGATCTGAGGTCCCTGGAGCCAGTGGGAGACTTGGATCACGTGACCACAAGTCACAGGGCTCTTACGTCTTGTGCTGACTGAGCTCACAGGTCTCTGCAGCCAGCCTGTACATCCCCACTTGGTACTTTAATTTTCTGCTGGAACTGAGATTTGTCCCTTTTGTCTGCTTGATTGGTTCCTTCTTCCACTTGTGATTGATCATACTGAGCTAAGGGGGTCTTTTCTGAAGCTTTTAATCCTTCTTTGCACACTCCTCTTTGTACTAATACCTATTTGAATAGTGCCCCAAATAGTGAGACATCAGCATACAAAGCTTCTGAGAACAGCTCACCTCCCATCCAAGGCTGAGGCTGTGCTAGTCCATTTCATTTACCTGTTCACCCGCTAGCCTAGCAGGTTCTGTCAGCTATGATGCCTCCCTTCATGCTCCTTGGCACAACTGTATCCCTGGAGATAATTGGATGTGATATGCCCTGGGGTGCAGCAAAACCAGGCCCAGGGATTGCTGATCAGACAGTTCCTGGCTGATGCTTCAGGGCACAGCTGAGGGTCTGCCTCCTCCACGGCCAGCCAGCTCTCTGGTACTTCTCTCTTGCCTCTGCCCACCACCGAACTCCGTGCAGGGGAGATTCCAGAGTGTCTTCACCAAGAAGGCACCATTTTACCTGGACTGATATTCATTTTTCTTATCAAGAAATATTTCTTGCATCCTAACTACATATGTGAATGAGGGGAAAGATGGGGCTTTGCGAGAGGCAGTAAGACTAGAGTGTCTGAAAGGTTTTTACGGCAAATCGTGCTACTGCTCTGAGTTTCAGTGGATTTTTTTTCCCTAAAAACTGATATAATAATACACATTTCAGGTAAGGGGTGGGGAAGAATTCTAATTCAGAGGAGCAGCATGAGGAACTTTTTTGGCTTTCTTTCCTTAGGTTTCCTAATTTATTGGTATTTACATGATTCTATTCATTTATTAAAAAGCACAGCATGCATGGTACATCTCTAAAAAATAAAATTTAAAATATCTCAGTATAAAAGTATATACCCCACAGAGTATGGTGGTGATTAGCCATTTCCTGAGCTATTGCTCATAGCCTTGGACACAATGCATGGGATGTCCTATGGGTTCACAGACTCTTCCATCCTACTCTTTCCCAAGGATATGACATTAAATCTTCAGTCTACTCCTGAACTTCACTCTATGCCCCCATTTGATCAGGGACATTCAGTGTATTGTCACAAGAGCCAAGATTAGGACCCTTGGCATGGATACCATGGTTCGTTTCAGACAAAGGAAGTTCCTGGCATTTTAATTTTAAACTCACAACTATCTTGAAGCCTGGGGGGCAGGCAAATTGGTCACTGTAGGTAGAGGTACTATGTGGTATGCAGGGCATGGCAAAGAATTTCTTAATCTGTTAGGAGTTTAAAGTGTGGTCTCAATGGAGAGTCATGGGTTTATCCAACACCCACATTTACTGAAGTCCATGGCCAGCTGGTGGGTGGTAAAAGCCACAATGGACAGTTGTGAAGCTTCGGGGAAATATAAGAGCTCCACATTAAAGAAACACCATGCACATGACGTATAGATTTCTACGTATAATATAAACATTCTCTGGAAAGTGACACTGAGTATCTGGAGACAGGAGTACCGTCAGCTATTTCACTGTAAGGTGCTGTTTGAGTAAGTAAAAGTGGTAGTGTCTTGGTAGAGGCTAAACTTTCAACAAATACCACGTGCTGTGCTGAAAAGCACATGCCTTGGGGATTATAAATGTGGCCCGAGGAGTCAGGAAAGGATGACTAATGACGTGTATTCAGCATGGCATCAGGAGAGCAAATATTATTGCGGACCATGTCACTAAATAGGAGGTAATTTATGAATTCTTCTGGTGAAGCTAAGTAGAAAATCAGATTGCAGCAAGATAGGAGTATTTGTCTGTGACAGGAACTTGGATCAAGGCGGAATAGTGCAATGTGTGTCTGTGCGTAGAGTCACAAAGCATCCTTTACAAGGCTCAATGAAAAGATACAGTTTCTTCTAAAAGATAAATTTTAAGCCAATGGCTCTCCAGCTTTGGTAGGTATCTAGATTTCCTCAGGGACTGTGGTAAAATACAGAG